CGCGCCACTTTTTATATGAAAACAGTAGTCACAATGATTGCGGTGTAAGGGTGCTTAAGAGAAATGAAGTGTGTGTATTTGCTCAGACGATCCATTACTACCAATATTACTAAAAACCCCTCTGATTGTGACAACCCCTCAATGAAATCAATCATCACTTCCTCCAACACCCTCTTCAATAGGGATAGGGGTTGTAGTAATCCTGCTGACATCATGGCTAAGTACTTGTGCCTTTGGCACACATAGCATCTTGGACCCAATCTTCTACATTGCGGCATCCCAACCCATTATAATTCTGCTGACAACTAACTGTAGGTTTTCTGATCTCCTGAATATATTCTCATTGCATTGTCATGAAACTCCTGCAATAACTTGGGGATGTATCCTAATCCCCTCTATAAAATGAATCTCCCTTGATGCAGCTGGACTCCTCTCAATGTGTAACCAGGATGACTATTCGGATTCTGTAGCAAATTGGTTCTGATCTTCCTTAGTCGCTCATCTTGTTTACTTTCCTATCCCATTCTTCTCAATCTAGGATCATGGGTACTAACAAGGCTGCCAACTGAGGCTCCTTGACTTTCCTGGACAAGGCGTCTATTGCTTTATTTTCTAAGCTCAGTCGATATTGGATCTCAAAATCATATACAAACAACTTAAATCAACATTATTGATGCTCCTCAATGACCATCCATTGTTCCAACAAATACTTCAGGCTCCTTTGATCTATCTTGACTAGGAAATGTCTCCCGAACAAATAAGGTCGCCACTTCTAAATATTCAAACAATAGCCATCAACTCCCTCTCATACACAGATTTGAGTTTTGCCCAGACTGTGAGCACCTAACAGAAATAGGCAATAGGTCAATGTCCTGCATGAGTACTTCCCCTAGTTCATATCCTAATGCATTTGTCTCCACCACAAAAGGCCTGCTGAAGTCAGGAAGTGCTAACACTGATACACTAGTCATCGCTTTCTTCAACTGCTTGAAAGCCTGTGTAGCCGCCACCCCCCACTTGAAACTATCCTTCAGTTGATCAGTCAATAGCCATGCTATCTTACCAAACCCTTGCACAAACTTCCGGTAGGACCCGGTGAGGCCTAAGAATCCTCTCAGCTCTCTCAAGTTCTTAGGTAAAGGCCAATTCAGCATAGCCTTAATCTTGGACCTATCTACTGCTACCCCTGCTTGGCTCACCACATGTCCCAGGTACTCCACCTTTGGTTGTGCAAACAAATTTTCTTCAGCTCTCTCAATGTCTCCAACACCACTCTCAGGTGTCCTATATGCTCTGCCTCGGTTCAACTGTGGATCAGGATTTAATAAAAATATACCAAGACAAACTTTTTTAGATAGGATTTTGTATTGTCTTGACCATGGTTATGAGTGAAATCATGATCCTGCATAAGCTAGCATCCTTCCTAGCACCACTGATAGGCCGGTTCATCCTGAATCGGCCCAAGAGCCGGCCCAGAGGCCGTCTCATTACTACATAAGGCGGAACTAGGGGGTCCGCCCCCTTTGAATTGCCGCCCACGTGTGGGGCCCGCTTGGAACAATTGAGGAAGGAGGATTGAGCGGCTAGGGAGAGAGGGAATTTTTGAATGAGAGAGATTTGAATTAATAATCTAATTGTATTAATAGGGGGGTTTGTCTAGGGTTAGTTTTTTATGCTTGTTTTGTTTTTCTCTTGGATTTTCTTTGGTGTCTTGGGCTCTATGCACTTTGTCTAGAGATTGGGAGAGAACGATTCTCCTCTCGAATTGAGGATCAATTGTATCTTAATTGGTATTTGTTTTGACTTATTACTCTTCTCGCAATCTACTGTTTTGGGGCTGTTTTCACCCAGATTTCACAAATCTCTCGCTGTTTTCACCAATTAGAGATAGGTTTGCTTGTGAACTCAAGTATTTCCTATCAACCACCTTCTTACCTTCTTCCTGCACCTCCGTAGTTGAAGACGTCCAATCCACCTTGGTCTCTCTAATTGTCTATAACCACTTCATCCTTAGGATGACATCAGTACTTCTTAATTCCAAGGGAAGAAAATCCTCCACTATATATATTCCTTGGAGTGCAAGCATCAACCCTTTGCAAATCCCCCTACTCTTCTCTACCTTTCTTGTCCTCATCATGACTCCAAAGCTCTCTATATCCACTAAATATAAATCCAGCTAGTCCACGACCCGATTGAAGATGATGTTATGAGTGGCCCCACTATCCATCAAAATCACCACTGGTTGCTCCCCAATTTGCTTCCTCACCTTCACGATGTGATTTGGGATAAATCCCACCATGGAGTTCAGGGATACATCCGCAACATCTAAATGTAACTACTCCGTCTCCTCCAAGACATCCTCCAGCTCATTTCCGCTCTCCTCCTCCCTTCACAGACCAACAAGATCTGAAGGGCTCGATTCTTACACTAATGTCTTAGTGTAAATCTCTTGTCACACCTGAAACATAACTCTTTTTCATACCTATCATGCACCTCTGCTTCTGTGAGGTGCTTGAATTTGCCTTCAGGACGAACACCAGTGCTCTTCTCCTTCAATGCTTCCCTCTGAAATGATACCATCTGGGTTTTTGGTGTCATGGTAGTAGAGGTACTCCTGTAATCCCCACCAACTTCCTCTAATGTTTCTCCAAGACGAGCACCAGCTCTATCGTCTCTCTCTATCCTCTAGGCCTTAAAACCCTGAGCTTTGCTCATATATCTTCCTTAAGGCCCTTCATGAAATCTCCTTCCAATCATTCCTCAGAAATTCCCCTCCATCTTCCTAACAGTAGCTCAATTTTTTTCCAATAATCCATAACGGTCCCCTCTTGTGTTAAGGCATAGAATAACTCATGGAGGTATCCTTCCCAAATGGCTTAGAAACGTTCCAATAAGCAATCCTTGAATTCTCGCCAGAAATAGATCAGATACTTGGGCCTTCCTCCACTGAAACCAAGCTATGGCTTTCCCCTCCAAACATAGGCACACCATCATGAGTTTTTTCCCTTCCATCAACCCATTGATAGCAATGTAATGCTCCATCCGGTACACCCATCCTTGAGCTTCTTCCCCTTCAAACAATGGCATTTTTAACTTCCTTGCTCTTTCCTCTGTAACCTAATTGTTTCTTCCTCTGTTAGTTCCTCTCATGTAATGTTAGTGTGATTCTCTCCCTTCCTCCCTTGGCTTATTTGAACCCCATGATTTGGCCCAACCATTGCTTCCTCCGGTCAACCTTCCCTTCTGCCTAGGTGGTCTCCAGAAAGCTTCAGCCTCCCCTCTTCTTATTGCCCCTTCTTTGAGATACCTTGATAGACCTCCCATTGAAGCGCTTCGGGATGGTTCTTGAGGGAAAACCATCTTCACTTCATAATTATCCTCTTGAAGTCTCTTTCCCTTCATATAAGCCCTAGAGATAGCCGGTGAACCTTCTGATTGCATCTTGATTAATTTATTCATCATGCTTTCCATGTTCTCGAATCGATTTTCCATAGATGGAAGCCTTCCTTCCACAACTATGAACTTGCCTCCATTCCAAAAAATTTCTCCTCCATTCTAGAACATTTTTTCTCCATCCAAACCCTGAGTTGCTCAATCTCGCCTTCCAACGCATCCATTTTCTTTGCTTTCATTCACGGATTTAGGTTCCAAACCACAAAATCTTTTCCTAATCGATCATCTCCTTAATTCCTCTACTAAAATAATGAATTAATTTCTTGTTGGGCCCCACAATGGGGGGGGGGGTCAAAATCTCCTAGATTTGGTTTCAGGTTCTGCCCCCTCTACCCGCTGGACCGGTTGGTCCAACCCCATGTTGCCTACAGCCATAACAAATTCATGTAGCCAACCCCAAGTACTGGGAGAAATATTTGTTGTTGTAATGAAAAGTTTGATAGGAAATACTTGAGTTCGCAAAAAAACCTAACAATAATCAGTAAAACCGCGAGAAAACAGAGAAAATTTAATGGAAAAGCAATCAAAACGATAGATAGTCTCATAGAAAACAAAGTGAAGCAAGAACGAAACAAAGATACAATTGATCCTCAATTCGAGAGGAGAATCGTTCTCTCCTAATCTCTAGACAAGAAGCCTAGAGCCCAAGACACCAAAGAGACTCCAAGAGAAACACAAAATTTTGCATGCCCTAACCCTAGTCTCTGTTCATCTTTAAATATAAATCTTCTTAATAAAAAACTTTCTAACATAAACCAATTTCAAAAATCTCTCCTTTTTCACTAGCTGCCCCTTTCTCTCTCTCCTGTTGCCGCCTCAAGGGGGTCCCACATGCTGGGCGAATTCATTTAAGGTGGCGGCTTAGCCCGCCTCTTGTAGAACTGGACCGACCCCTCCTAGGCCGGTCTGGTTGACTCCGTAACAAAATTCTTTCAGACAAATAAGGCATAGTATACTAAGTGAATAAATAGATATCAAAATAATTGTATTACAATCTGGCATGAGAAAGTTTTAAAATAACTTAGATAAACAAAGTTTAAGCAAAAGGTGCAAGGCATTTTAGCTGAGGAGCACAAATAGGTGAACCTTACTTTGCGCAAACTGCTAAGGAACTAAAGTACTAACTCCGAAATAAGTATGTGTGCAACAAAGAAGGAATTCTCAAACAAGAGGCATAAGATGTCAAGACATGTAATGGCATTGAGCTTAATTTCACATTAGATAGCCAAAAAATATATTAGTATAGAAATACAAAATAATTGGCCATCCCTAAAAGGTTTAAACTTTTGGTTGAAAATGAGTTTGACTGCTAGAGTATCAAGCCCAACATTGATCTCCATTTGGTTCACACTGAGCAACACAAATAATTTATGTAGAGCATTATTATGCAAACAACAAGAATGTGTGCGCTTTGGATGATAAAAGAGACTGCTTGGAGGTATATGAGCATGTACTTTTTAACAGATAAATTCATTAAACAAAGGATGTGAGGATACAATGGCTACAAATTTCTTAATTGAATTTAGGTAAAAAAATGACAGATATACCTGTTGGAAAGTGCTAAGAGATGCTAAAATGGAACCTCCAATCCAGACACTGTACTTCCTCTCTGGTGGAGCCACCACCTTAATCTTCATGCTACTTGGTGCCAACGCTATAATCTCCTTGTTCATCCTCTCGGCAATACCAGGAAACATTGTAGAACCACCACTCAAAACTATGTTCCCATAAAGATCCTTTCTTATGTCAACATCACACTTCATAATTGAGTTGTATGTGGTTTCGTGGATTCCTGCTGCTTCCATACCAATCATTGATGGCTGGAAGAGGACCTCTGGGCAACGGAACCTCTCAGCTCCAATTGTGATCACCTGCCCATCGGGCAGTTCATAGCTCTTCTCCACAGATGAGCTAGTCTTGGAAACCTCTAACTCTTGCTCATAATCAAGAGCAATATATGCAAGTTTCTCCTTCATGTCTCTCACAATCTCACGCTCAGCTGTAGTAGTGAATGAATAGCCACGCTCTGTAAGGATCTTCATAAGCGCATCAGTCAAGTCACGACCGGCTAAATCTAGCCGAAGTATGGCATGAGGGAGAGCATAACCCTCATAGATTGGGACGGTATGACTAACACCATCTCCAGAATCCAGAACAATACCTGTTTAAGAATCCCACAAGCAAAAATAGCCATGAAGTCATTCAGCAGCAAGAAATGACTTAACAACATTAAATTATTAGTAGTTATATGGGACTGTTCTCAGGACCTCCTTTTGCCATGAACTAAGAGTATAATAGCTGTTTCAAACACATCACATGCTCACTAGTGAACTAGATTTGGTTAATGCGTAAGGAGATTATTTCTGGAGGTTCAGATTCCAAGAGTAGCATAGCTGTTGCATCCACATTGCACGCATGCTCGTGTACAACATTTGGTTCATAAGTAAAGCGATTATTACTTGGAGTTTCAGACTCCAAGATCCTCAACACTCAGCTCATTAAAGTAGAGTAACCTGAGAACTATGATGCACCGACACTTCTCTTCACAGAGGTTTAATCATATTATTAACACAAGGTTAATATTTATCTTTGTTGTTGCACATATTATAAAGGAATTATGCTTTGCTAACAAAAATTCTTAACACCAGGCCCCCGTGACTAATAAAAAAATGGACAAGCATATAGTGCATTGGGATGCATCCATTTTCCTGTTAGTTATGTGTTGACCTGGTGTTGAAAATTTGTGTAAGAATTACTCACTATCATGTAAACCAGATAAATACTTCAGAAAAGTTATCATTTCTTAGTAATAAGGTCAAACTAATAAAAAATTCTCAAGTAATTCAAAAACAGCAGAAAATTATGCCATTTGATTTAACTTAAATTAGTTTAACATAAGCATATAGTTTTGCGTTAGATAAAATTTCTGCAATTGAGAGATCACTGATAGAACTATGCAAGTCAATTTCCTCCACAAACTAATGACCTCAACTATTTCAATTTTGACTTAAATTTATCTATATGTGGAACCAAAAGGAAAAATAAATTGTGCATGTTAAATTACCACTGGAGTGGTTTTTAGCACGTTAAAAGGGGTATAAAAAATATGGTAGGCTTTCTCACCGGTTGTGCGACCACTGGCATAAAGAGAGAGAACAGCCTGAATTGCAACATACATAGCCGGAGCATTGAAGGTCTCAAACATGATTTGAGTCATTTTTTCACGGTTAGCCTTGGGATTAAGTGGCGCCTCAGTTAGAAGAACAGGGTGTTCTTCTGGGGCCACACGAAGCTCATTGTAGAAAGTATGGTGCCATATCTTCTCCATGTCATCCCAATTACTCACAATACCATGCTCAATTGGGTATTTCAAAGTTAAAATACCACGTTTTGACTGTGCCTCATCCCCAACATACGCATCTTTTTGACCCATACCAACCATCACCCCAGTATGACGAGGGCGACCAACAATGCTGGGGAAGACAGCCCTTGGGGCGTCATCTCCCGCAAATCCAGCCTGAGGTGGAAAAAAAAAATTAAAGAAAAGAAGTGTGCAAGGAATTGTAGAAAATGTTACATAGAAACACGTAAGTTGTTAATGATGAAAACCACACAGCAAATGTTACCAAGTATCAAGATAATTTATTGAATGAAATTTGTTCTAAAAGTAAAGCTCCGCAAGGAAGATTAGTATTTGCACCTTGACCATTCCAGTGCCATTATCACAAACAAGAGGTTGAATTTCTTCACCTTCTGCCATATTTCCGGTCTGACAGGAAATTAATATATCTATGAGTGCAAAACATTAACATTATAAATTAATTCAACAGAATAACATCAATGGCTTCTTTGCATCCTCAGTAAATTCATCTTCTATACCGATAAACTATGTGCGTGTCACACGACACATACGCACAAATCATTCAAAAAAGCTATTATTTTTTGGAAATTATCAAAAATATGAATTTTTTTATTTTTTACTTCGAAAGTATAATACAATTCATGTATTCTACTACCACAATTTATAAAAGACATAAATTTTAGATTTCATTGTGACATGTCAGGAATAGGTTTTGATTTAAAAATTTTTCATATGTTTTAATTATAACCACTAACATTTATCCAATACATTGTTTTTTTGTATCTTGCACTATCATATACTATTTTTTATAGTGAGTAATGCCACCTAGTTCAATATTTAGAATTTGATCTTGAAATAATTTGAATTGAAGTTTATCAACTTTTCCTTGCAATCTCAATATGTTTCAATCTTCCTACTCTTTTAGTAAGTACATTAATTAAATGTGACTGACAATAATGTTAGGACTTAGGAGGATGAAACGCAATTCTCCAAGTTGAACCAATATATTAATAGATAAATTCCCATCAATTCAAAGGATTTAACCAACATTTGCTATGGGGCTATTTAGTATCCTATTTTATGCAGGCTTTTAGCAAGATTTATCTTAAATCCTACAAAATAGTTGTATTTACTAAAAGAGTAGGAAGAACTGTATTTCATACTCCTAAATCCATAATTTAACACAATTATGAACTTTCAGTCTTTTTTTTTTTTTTTTTGAAAAATTCCATTTCAACCTTATCATTAGTAAAATCCAAGATTTACTAAATCACGCCATTCACATGATTTACTGAATTTAAAAATTTCTCACTCTAAAAAATCTTAAATTCTAAGAAAATGACCAATTGTAGCCAAACAACCACTATAGTATACTAAAATTGTAATCCTTAAAGATTTATTAAAGCCATTTGTAGCCAAACAACCCCTATAGTATACTAGAAACCCAACTCTTACTTTCAATTTCGATGTGAGAATGAGAATATACTAGGAACCCTTTAGTGTATATATATAATTGATATATTTTATAGCAAAAACCTTATTCGACAAATATATATAGATATATACAATACATTTACATTTAATTAATAATTGTATTTGTAATCGCATTCAAGTTTTTAAGCACACATTTGAAAGTGTTTTTCTAGAAGTTAAAACAAATTTTAAGCAATCTCCATACTTGTAGTAAGCCTGCAGCAGATAAATGAAAGGCTAAAAAGCACATACCTCTGCTTCTAATGAAACAATCCGAAAGAGGAAAAAAAAGATCCAAATATTTTATATAAGACATAAAAAAGTGGTCTTTGGAGATAAAAAAAAGAAGCATCTTTGAAGACAATGCGGGATTACCTTGAAGAGCTCTGGTATGCAATAAATCAGAGCAGGAGAGCGATCGAGGAACAAACACTGAGCTAAAAATCCCTACCGATGGAATGGCTCTTGGGACTTTATTTTGCGCCGAAGCCAAACAGGGAGGGGCGACAGAGATAAAATAGAGATAAATAGAAAGGGAAAGGTGGAAGCCGTGTGGCAATGGCTGGAAGGCCGCCTACCGCGGCGCCCAAAAACGTTAGTGGACGCCCGCTTCTCTCGAAACCCAGCCAGGCATCCAGCGGCTTTTATCTCCTATTTTGCGGGTTCCAGCCACCATTTATTAATATAAGGATTATTCCTCCCTCCCCGTAACCTCACTGAAACTCAAATGAATGAACAAGTCGTGCGCTATCAAAAAATAATAATAATAAAATAAAAAATGGCTACTTTGCACGTAAATTTTTTTTTAAATAAAATAAAAATTAATAATTGTCACTTGGCTTGCAATAATATTTCGATTTTCAGAAATTAAAACATTGATATGATCGCATAGAGCAATGGTAGAAAATTATATTTATATTATTTCGTAGAGCATATTTTTTGAGACTTTTGAGACTGTTAATTTAAATTAATACACAAATCATATATATAAGCTTCAAATCTAAAACTTTTTAGTTGATAACCAAATCTTTCAGCCTCAGATCAAAGTGAGCTGCATTATAGCATATTTTATGATAGTACATTATATAGCAATAATAAAAAATTATAGCTGAAATGTGTGATGTAAATGAGACATGTTGAGCTCGAATCAAAGCAACTTGAGCTTGACTCGACGCTGTTCGAAACTCGAGCAAAAGCTGGAGTGAGTCCATGGAATGAGCTCCAACTCGTCTCAAGCATTCCTTCTAGACTTGAGAGCTCGACCGATTCACTAGCAGAATTAATGGTGAGAGCTTATCTCAACAGCAACAACGAGATGAGTTCGAGCCAGCTCATAAAATATCTCGACTAATTTACCCCCTACTTGAAATATATCATCCTTGAATTATGAAAGGAAAGGATGAAAGGCAGTGTGGCAATTTTATGTATTATTCTATATAGCAAACATATATAAAGATTGGATTATTTAATTATCTTCTATTCATTTTGTAAAGGCATGAAATTGGAAATATGTATGAACAAATTAGACCATCCAAAGTCCATAGATAGATCCAAATACAGTTTAAGCTTAGTTTGGGACGGCTTTCTTACTGCTTTTTATAGCTGTTTTCTAGTAAGAAAATAATTTTTTTTTACTAGAAAATTGTTTTAAAAAGAAGCAAAAAAAAAAAAAAATTGTTTTAAAAAAAAAAAAAAAAAAAAAAAAAACTTTCCCAAACGAAAACGTAGTGTGGATATTTCTCAATAGTTAATTCAGGTAGTTTTTTATAGCTTTTTAAAGCAATTTCTAATAAAAAAAAATCTGCTCTTAGACAAAGTAGACCATATATTCCCTTCTATAAAAGAAGAGAAAACATATGATCCACTTTAAGTACATATGGAAAAAAAAAAAAACTTAAGCACAGTCAATATCATCAAACAAAAGAAATCTCAAAATTTTAAATATGATTTTATCAAAAATAAAAAAGATAACCTATTTTTATCTTACAAACATAAAAATTTTGTGTATTCAAATAAATTATTGAATAAAATAAATCCTATTATTCTTTGCTGGCTTAATTACTAAGATAGTCCCAACGATAATTAAGAACATCAAGGAGAAATTTTATTGTTAGCAATAGTTAACTTTAACTAATAAAAAATAAGAACCTTAATTGCTCATTAATGATGGTCTATGACCCAATGCTTTTGAATTTTAAACCACAAGCTCTTGTGATCTAAAAGAGCTCACAGACACAATTTTCAAATTTTTGACCATGGTATCTAAGAGAAATATTTTTTTTTATATTTTTAAGTAATTATTAAAAGTTATTGGTTCACAAAATATTATTTTATAAATTTATCCATGGTTCTAAAATTTTAAAGAACAATTTAAACAACTAAATCATGACATTTTTACACTACATAATTTATCAACAAATAGTGAAAGAGAAAACTATATTGTGAATAAAAATTTTATTTTTCGTTGTGATATCACATGCTATTGCAAAATAAAATGTAGTATCATTCATCACATTTCATTCTCCCGTCAAGAGCCACCTTGAATCCTCTCCACATTTTAACTGATTTGGTACCAAATTTCAATTTAACTCACCGCAAAAAACAAAAGTATCTACGTTTTTTAACTAGTTACTAGCGCATACTTGTAATAACACCCAATTTATTTGAAAATTAGTATTCAAAATCTAATCTGACTAGAGCATAAAGATAATCGAAATCTATAGTGTAAACAAAAATATTTCACTTCATAAAAATCATCATATTACTAGCACTGTTGATTTCAAAATTTTAAACTCTAAAATAATAACTTATGCATGCCTAATATTATCCTAACATGTAATAATTTATGACAATCTGATGCGGACATCCAACCGTCCATGCTTGTCCGAGGAGGAGCTGAAGATCGACGACCGAGATCACTTTGTTTTATTTTCGTTTATTAAGTGTATTTTAATTTAGTTTCGCAATTTCCCTTTTTTACCCTCTTGTCTTATGTAAGCCCAAGGGGCAAATGTGACTTTTAATTTCTCTTGAGGCCTATATATAGAGGCTCATTCTCTTGTATAATGATGATGATGATGAATGAAAATTTCTACTTTTGATCTCTTTGTGAGTTCATATTTTCTTGATCTCTTGGTGAGTTCAACTCTCCTAGATCTCTGTGTGAGTTCTATGGAAAGCCCAAGGTGAGGGCAAAAGCAATACCCGTCAATCTTTGGAAGAGTCCGAGGTTCGCGGTTCTTACGATCTCTTTGTGAGTTCGTTAGCTATCTTCATAATAGTTGTATTGTGGATAAAAATCTTATTTTCTCCCTTCATAATAATTGTATTGAAGATGAAAAAAATATTTCCTCCTTTCTTAGTAGGCCAAAATTATTTAGTTTAGGGATCTATGAGGAGCTCATGAAGATAGCTACAATTTGACAAAAAGAAATAAGATTTGTGCATGTATCTGCAACTAGAATGACTAAGCATGTAATTAGGATAGAGTGTGAAATAGCTTTCAAATGAAACAAGTATATCCTCATGATGATAAGGAAGCTACGACAAGCTTCCTCTTACTTAATTTGACCCAGATTGGTTAGATGACCAACCTCCCAAAATAACTCTAATAACTTGGTCATGAAGGGGTTACGAACTTCATATTGTGTTTTATTGCTCTAGATTTACATCTCTTACTATAGTGAAGCTAAGAGAACTCAAACTGAGGAATGAGATGGTTAGGCTAGGAAGTTCCAATATGGTGGTTCTCTCCCTTATTTGTTCTGTAGCTCATAATATTGGATGAAAAGGAATATGAATATTCTAAGGGATTCATTGCAAACCTAGGAACTCAATGTTAAGCTCTAAGAAGGATGGCGATCATTTTATATGTGTAATGAGCTTAGCCTTAATTAATGAGAAAGAGCTCACTTTTGCACTAATGAGGGGCTCTTTAGGGGTTAGCCTTTGCTAATCTTAGTTATAATCAAGCTAAAAAGCATTAAGGTTGAGATTAGTGCTAAGAATAAGAAATCACAATGTTATTTTAAACAAAAAGGTGCTGAGCATGCTTTGGGTACTTAAACATTGCTTTTGGGCTTAACCTAATTGAGTAAACTAGCATTCCTATGCTTAATTATGGCCAACAAACTAAATGATGTCAAGGTTAGGTCCTAAAAAAGCTAGGAAAGGTTCAAGATCCACCAACTAAGCTTGGGCTCGCCTCAATTTGGCCAAATTGATTAACCAGTCATAATTTGGTCAACTTAGGTATGGGTATAGATAATGTTGATTGCAGTGGATTCCAAAACCTCCAAAGGACATTGGTATTTATGTGGTGAGCCCAAAAGATAGAATTGGCTTGGATTGATTCAATTGGTCCAAAGGATAGAATTTTCAAGGATTGGTTCAATTGTCCAAAGGCACTCAATTGGATTCATATAGGTTCACTAGGGGCTAGCCATATAATTGGCTAGGCCTAAGTGGTCTTTTGATCTTCTAAGAGTGTTGAGAGTCTATTAGGATCAAAAGATAGCTAGTCATAGGGTACATAGGTTAGCCTAAGTGGGTGGATGAGTCCACGTTGGGCTCAATTAGATAAGTCATTGGCTAGCTTGGGTTAGCATGCAATTAGTTGAATATAATGGTAAAATGACATCTTAAGAAATGTTAAGTGTGTCTAGGGAATCAAAGTAGTGATTTTATGGACTGAAATAGCTTTGGTAAAAAAATTAACTCATTGACTCACAGAAGGAAAACAGACCAATTATGTGCTTAACTTAGATCTAGCTAGAACAAAGGCCACCCAATGCTCACCAATGTGATCTAATGGTTCCATAAAGTATCAAGGATCAAATGGAGATAAACATAAAGTTCAATAGACTTGGATCAAGAAAATTGGGCTTAAAAGCTCATTAGGAGTCTACCTAGGCTAGTTTGGGCCTAATTTAGGTTACTTCACGCTAAATCCAATCTAAGACATAATCATAATGTCCCTAAGCCTTTATAACACATCATGGAGCCAAATATGATGAGCTTTAGTTCACCTATGGTCAATTGGAAAGGTTCATAAATCAATTTATCACAAATGGCCAATTAGGCCAAGCCTAGGTTAAGTATGATTAACTTAAAGTTTGTTTGACCTAATATGAGTATAATTAGGATTATGTATTTTTCATGGCTTTGGGGATTGATTTAGGTTTAGGTGGTCCCACATATATGTTGTCTAAGCTTATTGGGACAATCTAAATCAAGTCACATTAAAGTTAGGTTAGATCTAATCCAATTTAGGCTAAAGTTGAGCCACCTAATTTAGGATTTCTAAGAAGTTGAACCTAGTGCCTACTAAGCAAAGAATAAAGTTAATATTCATCCTAAATATCAATCCACATCTACAACCATACCCCATGTCATTCTGAATCATAACTTCCTAGAATATTAAGGGCATACACGATTCTTGTATATATGAATTGTTACCTTCTATCAATTAATTTTTCTTTATGTAAATTGAGCCTCATAAGAATTCTATATTCAACATCCATTTATTAGGAACTTCCATCTTTAGCCCTCCAAAGGTTATTGTAATAATTTCTACATTATAGTGGAGGTAAAATTTAGACTAAATAGAGTACTTTTAATATTCATTTTGACCCAATCATTATCCATCTATTTATTTTTCATGGTATGGTTAGTAAATGTGGTTCTTTTTTTTTACTAGTATTTTTGTGAGTAATG